GCGCACGCATGCACGCACAAGCACACTGACCGTGACACACACACACACACACACCCACACCCACACCCACACCCACACCCACACCCACACCCACACCCACACCCACACCCACACCCACACCCACACCCACACCCACACCCACACCCACACCCCCACCCCCACCCACACCCACACCCACACCCACACCCACACCCACACCCACACCCACACCCACACCCACACCCACACCCACGCACGCACGCACACAGAGGCAAGCAAATGAGGCCTGATTTGCTTATTAATGTGTTTTGGGGTAGAGGCTGCTGTGCTTTTCTGTCATGTGTGCGTATGCGGGTTTAGGGTTTAGGTTTTAGTGCTTATGGTTTATGGTTTTGGGGCTGACTTTGCTTTCAGGGCCGGCATGCTAGGGCAGTTTGCCGGGGCAATGTGGCTCGAAGGTATGATCCCCCTAAGCCCCCAAACCCCAAACCCTCAAAAACCTAAACCCTAAACCCTAAACCCTAAACCCTAAACGGGGTTTTGTGGGTTTTGTGGGTTTCGCGACACCTTTCTGCCTGCAGATACAACGGCCGACTCCTGCGTGTGGCCAACCTGCTCAGCGAAGCTCCCGCGGAGGCCTCTTAAGTGTTTGGGTTTAGGTTTAGGGGTTTGGGGTTTAGGGTTTAGGGTTTAGGGTTTTCGGGTTTAGGGTTCCGGGTTTAGGGTTTAGGGTTTGTGGTTTAGGGTTAGGGGGCTCCATACTTGGCAATACAATACAGGGAAGGCCACCTAGAATTTAGTTTACCAGCCCTTTAGGGTTAAGGGTTTAGGGTTTAGGGTTTTCGGGTTTAGGGTTCCGGGTTTAGGGTTTAGGGTTTGTGGTTTAGGGTTAGGGGGCCTCCATACTTGGCAATACAATACAGGGAAGGCCACCTAGAGCTTAGTTTACCAGCCCTTTAGATACAGTTAGTATGGTAAGGGTGCCCCCTCCCTGCATGGGGCACTCTTGTACGGAGCTTCTTTCGGACTCCCTGAATAATTGCCGCGAGGCAGGATACGATGCTATGCCTCTATAGGCCCCTGAGTGTAAAGCACTCCTGCAGGACAAGGCCCCCCCTTACTTGGGGTTCTTAAGGGAGGGGGGTTCAATCTACTCCTAAGGCCCATGAACCCTCTCTCCCTTCCATGGGTTTCCGGTTCTAGGACTTACTTCAAGCTCGTAAACTTGAAGTGCCTTAAACCCAAATAGAAGGCCTTTGGAGCTCTTTTCTCATAGCAACACAAACCCTCCCTCCCCTAATCCTTCCAGAAAAGATGTGGGCTGAGGTCTTTGTTGGGTACGAGTTCGGGGCGCGGGCTGAACAGAAACCCGAAGCCCTGAACCCGAAACCCTAAACCTTGAAGCCCAACCCCTAAACCCTGATCCCTAAATGAGCACCAAAAGGGCCTTATTAGACGACTTATGATTTGGCCCGGTTCGCCCTCATTCTCCCATCCTGGTTGTGAGTTACCTTCACGACTCAACAGATTAACTCCTGGAGATAGAGGTTGGGGCCCCTTTGTCATTGTTACCATTATTACTACAATTATTACTACAATTATTACTACAATTATTACTACAATTATTACTACAATTATTATTATGCTGAAAATAAGCGTGCACGAGGTTGCCATGTTTTTCAAATATGAACCCTGCTTCGCCCTGCCTTGGAGGGCTTCGTCGCAGAGGACGTTGCAGGGGTTACGCTGCCGGGAGGGTCCCTTGAGACGAGCATGTCAGTCGCTCCCCCGTTCAGGAGGCTCAGATCTCATAGATTTCGGAGCCATAGGGTTCTATTGCAGGAAGGCGCTCTGTTAAAAGGAAGGGCTGGAGGTGAAAAGGTTTTGCAGTTCAAGGTTTGGAGAGAGAGAGAGAGAGAGAGATTGATTTTTGACCCGGTTTCGTACGAGCTGCCCAGTTTGGGCGAATCTACACCTGCTTAAGCCTTGAACCCGAATGAAGCCACTGAAGGTGATATCGTGCCTTCTAAGTTGCTTCGGTACTCTACAAAAGGGTTCAGGGTACTTAAGGGATCTACCTACACCCAACCCCTTGACCCTCCCCCCAAAACCCTTCAAAAAGGAAGCAAAAACACCTTAACCTCCAAACCCCTTAAGCCCTCCCCAAAAACAAAACCCGATAAACCCGCCCAAACCCCCCAAACCCACCCAACCCCCCCCCCCCCCCAAAAAAAAAAAAAAACTCCCCAAAACCCTTTTCAGCTCGCAGAATCCCTCGCCGGATCGGTCGCTGTCACCGCCATCACCGCCGCGGCCACCGCCGCCGCAGGAGGTCTTCCTGGGGCCTAAGCTCTAAACCCTGAACCCTGAACCATGAACTCTAAACCCTAAACCCTAAACCTTCACCCCAAACCCTGAACACTAATTAAAAACCCTGAACCCTGAACCCTGAACCCTAAAACCTTACCATTCTTATAGGTTTCAGGGTTTAGAGCTGTATAGGTTTGGTTGTCCCTTTCGCTCTGGGCCACACTAGCAAAGCCTGTTCTGCAGGTGGCGCCTGCCGCCAAGGCTCCCTCTGGGGGTTTAGGGTTTAGGGTTTAGGGTTTAGGGTTTAGGGTTTAGGGTTTAGGGTTTAGGGTTTAGGGTTCAGGGTTTGGGGCCTCGCCACAGCCTTGAACGCGGCAGTTCTCAAGATTTCAAAGCCCAGAGTCCCAGAAGCTGTTGAAGAGGGCGATGTCTATTTGTAGCATTTTTGTAGGGTGTAGGGTTTCCCCTTGGGATGTTCCCCCCGCCGGTTTACGGGTGAGGGGTAAGACAGTCCTTGCTGTACTTTGGGGGTTCATAGTACTCAGTAACCAATTGTAACTGTACTTTTGAGTGTACTTATCACCATATTAGGGTACTTTGGGGGGCCTTTTTGGTGGGGTATAAGTACGGTTATAGTTGGTTAACAAGTACCATGAAACTGAACGTAGGTTTGTTCTCTCCAGCTCATCATCTTGACCTTGACTGCTATTGCAGAGGGCCTTCTCAGAGATTTTCGGGTGCTCCAGACCTCTCAAACAGAAAGGTGGGAGGCAAGCGTGGTGTTCGTGCTTCAAATCTAGAGCAATTTCGGATTCAGGGTGCATTGTTTCGGGGTCCGTGGGGTTTAGGGCCCTGTGTGAGAGAAGAATGCTAGAACTCCTTTTGCCACACTTTCTTTCTATGAAAACCCCGAAGCCTCAACCCTAAACCCGAAACCTTGAACCCTAAACCCTAGGCCCTAAACCCTAAACCCTGAACCCTAAAGCCTAAACCCTAAACCCTAAACCCTAAACCCTAAACCCTGAACCCTAAACCCTAAACCCTAATCCCTGAACCCTAAACCCTAAACCCTAAACCCTAAACCCTAAACCCTAAACCCTAACTCTTCCCGAAAGCCTTGGGGGGGCCAGGCACCGACAGCGCCGCCCATCGACAAGGCCAAGGTGGCTCGAAGACTCGACTTGGTGGCTCCAGGGTTTAGGGTTTAGGGTTTAGGGGTTTAGGGGTTTAGGGTTTAGGGTTTGGGGTTTAGGGGTTTAGGGTTTAGGGTTTAGGGTTTAGGGTTTAGGGTTTAGGGTTGGGTTTAGGGTTTAGGGTTTAGGGTTTAGGGTTTAGGGTTTAGGGTTTAGGGTTTAGGGTTTAGGGTTTAGGGTTTAGGGGTTTAGGGGTTTAGGGGTTAGGGTTTAGGGTTTAGGGGTTTAGGGTTTGGGGGTTTAGGGTTTAGGGTTTAGGGTTTGGGGTTTGGGGTTTAGGGGTTTAGGGTTTAGGGTTTAGGGTTTAGGGTGTCGGGTTTAGGGTTCATGGGTATGTAGCAACAAAGTCATCTTGGCTTTCTTCCGGCTGGCTCTTAGGACTCTAACCTTTTGGATGTTTGTTGGAGCCTAAAAGTTCAACTTTTAGGAGGGGTTCCGAAGTCAGCCAAGTTATAGCTGTTGTCATAATCCACTCATACCCCCCAAGAAGCAACCACCGAATCTGGCTAGAATTGAGGTTGATGTACAGTTGAAGTTGAGAACTGCCTTGAACCTCCAAGTAAACCCTACAACCCTTTTCCCACACACATGACTGCTCTCTAACCTATGAAAACTTAGGAAACCTTGTCTTGACATTTCAGGGCTTGGGACTCAGTTCATAATCTGGTAGACAGGGTTTAGGGTTTAGGGTTTGGGGCTCAGTTCATAATCTGGTAGATGGGGTACACAGATGAATGTTTGTTGTGTGCTGCAACCACAAGTGATTCAATGCTGGCCTCCTCCGAATGGCCACAGGACCCTAAACCCGAAACCCTAAACCCCAAACCCCAAACCCCAAACCCCAAACCCCAAACCCCAAACCCCAAACCCCAAACCCTAAACCCTAACCCTTAAACCCTAATCCCTAAATCCCTAAATCCCTAAATCCCTAAATCCCTAAATCCCTAAATCCCTAAATCCCTAAATCCCTAAATCCCTAAATCCCTAAATCTCTAACTCTGAAGGAGGTTCTGGCTGCGACTCGTCGTCGAGGGTTTTTGTTCGAGCATCGAGCAGGAGCTACTGACCCCAAGGATGAACAGGGGTTTAGGGTTTAGGGTTTCGGGTTTAGGGTTTAGGGTTTCGGGTTTAGGGTTTAGGGTTCAGGGTTTAGGGTTTAGGGTTTAGGGTTTAGGAGAACTTTCCTGCCCAAGGAACCCGGGAAAAAAAACCCAAAACTCCGAACCTTAAATCCAAAGCCGGCTGCAGCATGACCTAGGAGAAACTTGGACAGCCTCAGCAGGTCACACCAAGCTCAAACCAAGAAGCACAACCGATATGTTGTGTAGTTTTCAGGGGCGAGGGGTCAGGTTGTTGTCAAGCCGAACAGCAGGTATTACAGCGGGCCGGCTCATAGGGCAACCCCCTGACAGTGCTTTCGATTTCTACAATTTGTAGGTTATGTTTTTGTTCGCCCTAAACCCTAAACCCTACGAACCCTATAAAGCCTTTAAACTCGAAGGCCCGAAACGGGATGTCATGTTTTTCCCCTTCTCAGAAAGCAAAGGTCGCCGCAAAGTTTCAGGAGCTCGTCAAGAGCGGTGTGGTCCTCAGATCCGAAATTCTGCATGGGGCTTAGGAAACCCTAAACCCTAAATCCTAAACCCTAAACCCTAAACCCTAGGGTTTACCAAAGAGCCCAGGAGGATGGTTTACCCGATTATAGGGACGATGGCATGGTTTTATTGCGTATGATGACCCCAATTTAGGGCTCCTTTGGTTCCCTGCGCCTTAGGGTTTAGGGCTTAGGGCTTCGGGTTTCGGGTTTAGGGTTTAGGGTCTTCCCAGAGCCCTGAAACCTGCAAGTTGGCTCCAGAACCCCCTGGACTCGGGATGTTCCCCCCCTTTAGGGTTTAGGGTTTAGGGCTTAGGGCCTAAGGGCTTAGGGTTTAGGGTTTAGATGTTCACCCTCATACCAACAGTCCTGAGTTTGGATGATAGTACCCCATAGTAGAATCGACATCTATTCTCGGCTTAGGACTCCTGCTCTGACCAGGTCTAGTCTTACTTAGCCAAGAGTTGAACTTTAAACCTTTTTGGGTGTCCTTATTCAGTAAGACTAGTAAAGTTTAACCTTGCAATTCCTGGGTTATTGGAGAATTAGGTAAGATACAGCCCATAGAGGCATGGAGCCCTCCCTTCTACAACCCGCTCCCAGAAACCGCCGAAAGAATGACCTGCAAACCACTCAACTAAACTTCTCAAGAGCCTTAAACCCCTGAAGCACACCCTGAAGATTTCTGGAAGCCTCACTTCCTAAACCCTAAACCCTAAACCCTACACCCTACACCGCAACCATGAAAAACCTCGCAGCCCACTCACAAGGCGTCGACCCCAACGATGCCGCTACTCAGGCCAGAGCCACCAAGGTGAGTGCAGGAATAGGACTTTTAGGGTTTTGGGTTTTGGGTTTCGGGTTTTGGGTTGTTTGGGGTATGGGACTTGCTGGCAGAAGGATCTGCCGACGGGCCATTATCCTTCATGCTGGATATGTCTTGGTGCCCAAAGGGACGATCACTTGGAAATTTGACCTCAGCGTTTTGCTTCGAGAGGTTGCGTGCCCCCAATCTGCAGTGCTGTCATCACAAGGCATGGGTTCCTCGGTTGGCTCCTGTGGTGTGTCTCCAGTCGTTTCCTGCGCCAGCATGGGTATTTCCCAAAATAGGGGTACCCCTTTTTATACCCGAATTCGAATAGAATCCCTTCAAGGGACCCCCCAAAAAGGGGGCACCCCTATTGTCGGAAACCCGCCCTAAACCCTAAACCCTACACCCTAAACCCTAAACCCTAAACCCTAAGCCCTAAACCCTAAACCCTAAACCTTCAACCCCCATATCCGCGGTCAAACTTGCCTTGTTTCCTTCTCTCCTCCGTATCACTTCGCCACCTCAGGCCATTCAGTCAGTGCGACAGGAGATGGCCCAGGCCATTGGGGGTTTAGAGTTTAGGGATTAGGGTTTAGGGTGAAACCTGTTTTTGCTCTTCTGAAACAGGAGTACCCCCTTAAACCCCAAAACGCTCAAACCCCTAAACCCTAAGCAGTCCCATGGAGGTCTTGAGGAGATGTTGGGCCTTTGTTTCGGGCTTTGTTCGCGGCGGCCCTCCCAAGGGATGTTGGGGGTTGCGGGGCTTAGGCTTAGGGTTGAATTGCAGGGTTAGGACTTAGTGCGTGGGTTTACGGTTGGGGGCGGAGGGGCTGTAGGTTTAGGGCCGTCATTCAGCAGGAGCTTTCGGGGTGCGATCAGCAGAGCAGAATCTTCAGTATGTTGCTCAGTTTTTCTTGTTTTCTTGGAGGCGGGCTTTCTGTACGAGGGCTCTTTGAGGGAATGATGCCCGAACTCCCGAACCCGCAACTTTTCATTGCCACCAGAAGGGCTTATCTTCTATGTATCCAACTAGGCACTAGCCCAAAAGTATACCTAAATCCCCTGAAGCCAGAATCTCCGAAGCTTTTGTGAACTCAGACACTGTTTAGGGTTTAGGGTTTAGGGTTTAGGGTTTAGGGTTTAGGGTTTAGGACAACCTCAAATTCCGAAGTTTGAGAACTTGGAGGCAGCAGCACCCGAGGTGGCGATGACTGCCGGAGGTCACGAGGCCCGGCAGGGGGGTGCACCTAGAGGTGGTCAGGGTTTTTGTTGGTTTGGGGGTTTCCGGGTTAGGGTTTAGGGTTTAGGGTTTAGGGTTTAGGGTTTAGGGTTTAGGGTTTAGGGTTTAGGGTTTAGCGTTTACTACACAGTACAGGGCACTGAAGTTGGGCAGCTCTGCTTTCCAGAGCCAGGGATTTGGGCACTACTGCTGGGGCATGGAGGGTGTCAGTTCAGGCTCTAGAGCATGGTTGGACAATGCGGTGGGGGGGCAAGGGGTAGGCCCCAAACCCTGAAACCCGAATTCCCAAACTTAAGCCGCAAAACCCTAAACCCGAAACCCTAAACCCTAAACCCTAAATCTTCTTTTTCCGAGGACCAACTACAGGAACTCCGCTCTATGGGCTTCTCAGATGAGGACACCTAAACCCTAAAGCCTCAACCGGGGCTTCGCCCTGAATAGAAGCCTGTAGAGTACAAGGGTGGTGCCTCAATGAGGATACCGTGGACTTGGGTGGGTGTAGGAGTGTTTAGAGGATTTGGGGTGTTGGGTTTTTGGGGCTTTGCAGCCAAAAGTTTGGGGCTTAGGGTGCATAATTTAGGGGGCTCAGCGTGCGGGCTTTAGGTTGAGGTACCTGGGTTCCGCTAGGATGTGCACTGTTGCAGGTTGAGGGGCCTGAGAGGGTGACTCAGGCGGGGTGCATAGGGTTCGGGTTTTCGGCCAAACACAAGGACCGCCTTCTGCTGTCAAACCGTTTCGGACTGGTTTTCGGCTTCTCGGGCCCTTGCAGGGCTTACAGGGCTCAAGCCCCCCCCCCCCCCCCCCAAAAAAAACAAAAACAGCCCCAAGTCCCCCACCCCTAAACCCTAAACCCTAAACCCTAAACCCTAAACCCTAAACCCTAAACCCTAAACCCTAAACCCTAAACCCTAAACCCTCAAGACACGGCCCCCAAGTCCTTTTGCACCTCGAGCCCCCTTAAAGACGCAGGGCTCTTAAATCCTCAAAAGTCCCTTCAAAAGCTGCAGCCCCAAACCCCAAACCCAAAAACCCCTTAAACCCCTGAAAGCCTCAACTTCAAACCTTTGCATCCCCTCAAAAGAAACCTAAAGCTCAAATCCCAAAAGAATCCCGAGGAGCGCAACCGGGCGCTCCTCAAGAAGTACGCCGGGCGCATGGACCGCGTGGTGGAGGCCCCCCCCCCCCCAAGCCCGGAGTCCTTCTTGAGCATGGATTTTAAGCACTTTTGGGGGGAAAAAAGTAGGGCGTTTAGGGTTTAGGGTTTAGGTTTTAGGGTTTAGGGTTGAGGGTTTCGGGTTTCGGGTTCAGGGTTTAGGGTTTAGGGTTGAAGGTTTACCCCCCCGCTATTTAGCAGGCAAATAGGGTCCCAGGTAAGATCAGGTAAGTTTGTAAGAATCTTATAACCCGAAACCCGAAGCCCGAAACGAAACCCGAAACCCTAAGCCCTAAACCCTAAACCCTAAACCCTAAACCCTAGCTTGGCAGAATCTTCTAACCCTAGAAGCTGTAGGTATGCATATGAGCCCAAACTTTACAATTCAGTTGCTCTGCAGGGCAGTTGTGCATGTCAGAGGTCGGTGCACTGTTGTGGCCCTGGCGAACTGTTCGACTTCTCGTGTGGATCCCTTCTTCATTATGTGGGTCGAGGGTTTAGGGTTTAAAGTTTAGGGTTTAGGGTTTAGGGTACCCTTTTGGGGGGGGTCTGTTTAAGGGGCTTCTATTCCACTTGTTGTAGGGACACCCCTATTTTGAGAAACACCCCTATGTGCACACACGCACACACACACGCACTGTCTAGGATACCCAGTAGTGCCCTTATTCCCTTTTTGGGGGCCCTAGGTTCCCCTATAAACCCCTTTAAGCAAAAAAGGGCACCCTCTTTAATCCTAGGTTACTGGGCAACCGAGTTGTTCATATGCACACGTGATGAGAATGCCTCGCCATGCGTGTGGGCCAGGCATTGTGCGGCAGCTGATGGCTTGAACCGCAGTTTCCCTGAGTCCCCAGCACCTATACACCGAAACCCGTTACCCCTCAGGGGGTCAGTAACCCCTGAACCCTAAACCCTAAACCCTCAACCCTAAACCCTAAAACCTAAACCCTAAACCAGAGCGCATGGCGATTCATGGAGTCGCCTTGTCTTCTCACTTCCTAGGGCATCTTCAAGCGGTTTCCAGACTTCGCCTCTGTACAGCCTGGCTCAAGTGACTGGAGCACACAGAGACCGCTACCGCTGCCATCGCGCAAGGCAAAGAGAAGCCTCAGCTGCCATAAACTTTATCCCCCTTAGGAATGATTTTTTTTGCTCATGTAAAACCCAAGAGGATATTAACAATTCTATTTTTAATAAGGTTCTAAGGGGGGTATAGCAAACCCTGTAATCGATGTATCCGGGTACATGAACCGTAAACCCTCTTAGGTCTTGTTGAGTCCCCAAGGCAACCAACAGCTTTCTAACTGTTTGCCCACAGTCTTAAGGGTTATACCCTACTAAACAGGGGTTACTTACTACGAAAATGTATTTAACTAGGGGTCCCAGATACTTCCTACTCTTGCGATTGTTGCCAATCTTGATTACTACGCTGTTTCATACCTTTTTTGTATGCGAATTGATTTCACGTCTTCTGGCCCAGCATCTCCTCTATAATTACCCTGCAACTCCTATAAACCCTGTAAACCCAAAAAAACCCTAAACCTTATGAACCCTATGAACCCCCTCAAACCTATGAAACCTGTAACCCCTGTAATCCCTGAGCCACGTGGGACCCGAGGGTTCAGGGAGCCTGTGCCGGTTGGGGGTTTAGGGTTTAAGTAGGGTTTTCGGGTTTAGGGCTTAGCGGTTTCGGAGGTGTCCTTTCCTTGCGGGGTCTGTAGCTGCGGGCGCACTTTAGAATGCACAGCATGCGGAGGTTTGAGCTTTATCGTGTACTTCTCCCCGAGCATGAGCGAACCCTCAAAGATCCCTACGCCCAATCTCGGCTCGTGCCGGATTAGGGATATGTGGGTTTAGGGTTTGGGGTTTCGGGTTTAGGATTCAGGGTGGGCGTGGAGCTGCGTAGATTGAAGAGCAGTTTATTTTCCAGCAGGTGAGGGCCACACACACACGCACGCGCACGCACACGCACACGCACACGCACACGCACACGCACACGCACACGCACATGCACACGCACACGCACACGCACACGCACACGCACACGCACACGCACAAGCACACGCACACGCACACGCACACGCACACGCACACGCACACGCACACGCACACGCACACGCACACGCACACGCACACGCACACGCACACACACCACACACACACACACACACACCACACACACACACACACACACACACACACACACACACACACACACACACACACACACACACACACACACACACACACACACACACACACATTTGCCCAACATCTCGAGCTGAAGTGTCAGAAACACATGAAAGACGAAAAACAACCTACCCAGCTGTGTAGGGTTTCGGCTTTAGGGTTTGGGCTTTAGGGTTTAGGCTTTAGGGTTTGGGGTTTGGGAATTGGGGTTTAGGGTTAGGGTTTCCAGGGACGCAAGGGCTTATGGCACAGTCTGTGCCATCGGAGTTGGACTGATCACAACAGAGCTCTGTCGGTTGGGTACGCGAAGAGCTGCAAAGGGTCTAAGGTTTAGGTTTTAGGGTGTAAGGATATAAACCCCTACACCCTAAACCCTAAACCCTAAACCCTAAACCCTAAACCCTCAATGCTGCAAGTTCAGAGCATGTGGGGTGCAGTCTGCAGATGCTCGTGCTTCGAGGGCATGGTACGGTATTCTGGGATCCGGCCCCTGCATGGGACTTCTCCGAAATACATGCGCTAGCGTTTAGGGTTTAGGGTTTAGGGTTTAGGGTTTAGGGATTAGGGTTTAGGGTTTAGGGTTGTAGCGTGCCTCGGAACCTCTTCACAAGTTCCCGAAACGTTCGAAGAGCCTAGTGTCCAGAACCCAGCAAGTCCCTGAATCCTGCTTCGCCTCCGCGACCCTTGGTTTAGGGTTCAGGGTTTAGGGTGATGGCCAGACTCCTCGTGCTTGCGGCGGCCTTTTGGGGAGCGTGTGCCTTGGGAACAAACATGAGCCCTAAAAGGATTTATGGTTCACACACCTCAATAGGATCTATAGTAGTAGCCCTAATCCCTAAACCCCAAACCCCAAAGCCTAAACCCCAATCCCTAACCCTAAACCCCAAACCCTAAATCCTAAACCCTAAAGCCTGAACCCTATTTTAGGGTTGATAATTTTATCCTTCCAAGGCGGAGATCACGAGGTGGTCTTGGTGGCCGGCTTTCCAAAGTGCGGCACGTCTCAACTCGACTCTCTACCAAATGCTTAAGAAACTTAGGGTTTTGGGTTTAGGGTTTGGGTTTAGGGTTTAGGGGGTTTAGGGGGTTTAGGGGGTTCAGGGGGTTTAGGGGGTTCAGGGGGTTTAGGGGGTTCAGGGGGTTTAGGGGTTTTAGGGGGTTTAGGGTGTTTAGGGTGTTTAGGGTTTAGGGTTTAGGGTGTCTCAACTCGACACTTTGTCATAGTGGCGGTAACCTTTTTTCTCATAAGGGTTCTATGAGAGAAACATAACCCCTAAACTACGAATCGCTTAAGAACCCCCAAAAAATAATAACAAGTATTCTTCCTTGTAAGGGAAATATAGGGGTTATTGCGTTTTGTCTTTTTGGTGGGGTTCTTAAGCAAATAGTAGCACTTTGTCATAGTGGGACAACATTTTACATGTTTAAGGGTACTTACTCTCAAGAATCGTTTAGGGGTTAGTTTAGGGTCTAGGATTTAGGGTTGAGGGTTTAGGGTTTAGGGTTTCGAACTCAAGAAGTACCAGAATTGTATCTTTTTCATACTCTCCCAACCATGAACAAGGACATGCTCCTCCGCAAGCACCCGGACATCGTGGCCTTGCGCAAGGAGGCTGCTGGATCCACATGCAGGGTTTAGGGTTCAGGGTTCAGGGTTCAGGGTTTAGGGTTTAGGGTTTAGGGTTTAGGGTTTAGGGCCTTTGGGACATCTTATACTTTTCCCTTAAACCCAAGGATCATCTTCAAGAATATGCGGTTTCAAAGGGTTTAGGGTTTGGGATTTAGGGTTTAGGGTTTAGGGTTTAGGGTTCTAGGGGCCATCCGAGGTTGTTCCTGACATTCCAGCAGCGGACTGGGCAGCCATGCTCCTTGGGGCCCTAAAATTGGGGGGTCATAGACCCCATACTACGAAAATTCTTATTGAGGTATATTATATGAACCCCTAAACCCTAAACCCTAAACCCTAAACCCTAAACGGTTGATTTCGTTCCCAAGGCTGAAGCATTTCCAGAAATCTGCGCGCAAGAGCAAGGGCCGGATATCGGAGATGCGACAGAGGTGTCTTTGGTATAGCGGGGGCAGCATTTTACCTTTTCGGAGGGGTACTTCAACTCAATGAGGAATACCCTAAACCCTAAACCCTGAACCCTGAACCCTGAACCCTTAACCCTAAACCCTAAACCCTAAACCCTAAACCCTAAACCCTAAACCCTAAACCCAACATTTTTAATGCCATCCCAACCATGAGCTAGGTGTGTCCGGAGGTTTCCAGGGCGCCAGGAGGTTTGTGAGCACATGCTGGGCACGCGCGCACAGAGCGGGGCCAAAGGCTCCGATCCAGTTGTCGCGCACACCCAGTTCCATGTCTTGAAGAACACGGAGCTACTGAAGGCCATGGGGGACTCGGTCAAAGTCATCGTGTTGCCAGGCTGACTTCAGGGACATGTTTTCTATGTTCCTCGTTTGGGTTTCTAAGGGACCCTCTACATATATATATATATATATATGTATGTATGTATGTATATAGTGCTTTTTCATATATATATATACACATATATATATATATATATGCTCACGCCCCCCCCCCATGATCCACGTTTCTGCTTCGAAACAGATGGATCTTGGGAGGAGAGGAGGCCATGAGCTAGCGATAAAAACACCGACAGGGCCGATAAAAACCTATATCATGTCAAGTCAGGCAGGTCATTTACATCAACAAGGTAGAAAAATACCCGAAAATTCGAGCCGGCTCGAATTTTCCAAAAAAAACTGACACAGTAGGTCACCCAAACGCGAGCAGGCTCGAATTTAAAAAAATAAAAATAAATTTCAGGATCTATGGCTCCAGCAGCCCGGTAGATCCTGAAAGTTCGGTTTTTTTGGAAAAATCGAGCCTGCTCGAGTTTTCGAGACCTGGAGCTTCAAGAATTTTCGGAAAATTCGCGCCGGCTCGAATTTTCAAACAAAAATGCTGAAACCATGGCTGTGTGACCCCAAGGCCTCATAGATGACATAATTTAGGGTTTTTTTTGAAAATTCGAGCCTGCTCGAGTTTTCGAGACCTGGAGCTTCAAGAATTTTCGGAAAATTCGAGCCGGCTCGAGTTTTCCTTCTATCTCTTGAAATTCTGACTGCGGGAATTGATACAATTAGTAGCATTAGTTACTAATTCTAATTCAATTGTTAAGTTTCCCATATTTTGACGGCAAATATCTAACTTGTGAGAAGAGACCACGCAATGGTTGAAATCCAACCGCCGTTTTGTTCTTAAACCCTTGACAATTAACATAAAAACTACCTTTGTGTAATTTACAACTTAAACTATCAATGAGGATATCTTCGGGACTAAAAGTTTCCATTATATATAAATAGCATAGATAATTAAATTATATATATATATATATACGTACCTTCAACTTGTATTCAAGCAAGTAATTCAAAACTATATGAGTTGTCTGTACTATTGTTCTTCTTCCTACCTTTCACCTGCTTAACTGCTTCATCTACTTCCTTATTCTCAACTAGACTTGTTATCTCTTCGTAAACATTTTGTTTAAATTGCTTCTCTATCTTCGATTTCTCTATTTGTTCGCATGTTGTTGCTTTCTTATGAAACGCTATGAATATTATGT